AACCGTCACAGAAGAGCCGTTTTGTGGTTCTACGGTTGGGACGGAGCAGTTGGACTTCCGTCCTCCCTGAGATTATGGCGCCATCTACCGGCCGTGGCCAGAACTGCACTCGTCCTGAGATTTTACCTGGAGGCGAGGACGTAAAAGTAAATAAACTCTAAATAACTCTAAATTCTTCCAAACATGTCAGCCCCGTCCTGCAGCAGGACCCCAACCCCTAAAATAACCCTAAGACCAAAAAACCTAACCCTAACCTAACCTCAGCACCATGGGGAGCAATCCGAAAAATAACCCCTAACATCTAACCCCTAACCCCCTTAACCCCAACTCTAACCCTAACCCCTAACTGTCTCTGTAAAGTGTCTTTGAGTGGCACGAAAGGCAGTATTAAAAATAAAAAGTATTATTATTATAAATTGGGGAAATAAATTAAGACAAACTTCTAAAACACCAGATAACTACAACTAAAAGATTTTACCGTTGCTCTATGGAAACAGAGGATGAAGTGACCACTGGTTAAAGACTCCCATTTCACAGCCGCCAAATAAAGAAAATATAAAACCACCAGACCGTCACGATGCCCAATCAGGGACACGTTCATGCACAAATTCAGCAAATCCTAAAAGGTTCACTAACTTGAAACTGCTTTCTAAATCTAATGATTATCTCTGTTATTGTACATCCTGGTGCTTGATCCCAAAGACGGACTTCTTCTTGATCAATTTTAAGGCCAGCAGTAGGTTTCATCGCTCTCCACTGTTGTTAAAAATATATATATAAATACAAGAACATGCAGAATGCACCGGATTCAAGTGAAATTCTGATGCCTGCTGCCAGCAGAAAAGAGATTTATTTGTGTTGAGTACATGCAGAGATTTGCATCAACAGTGTTGGTGCATTATGAATTATGCATTGTTTTGTTTTTGTGTTATAGATAACACTTTACTTAAAGCCCCTATTTGTGTTTAAACGTGATGCCCAGCAGGGGGAGGAGTTGCACAGGGGATCAAGTGAGCTCTTTCCTCACCATATATTTAGATTTTGACCAAAACTATACTGCACCTTGCAAAGAAGGGGGGTAAAAATGTTTTTTTGTGGTATTGCAAGCTAGATCGATCTATCTATCT